GTTAAATTTTTATTTAAAATTTACATTTAAAAACTTAAAAAATCAAATTAAGTTTATTTGAAATTAAAAACGAAGTATTATAATTTGAATAAAAATATATTATATCATTCAATATATAATTCGAAACCACCTCCCTTGACTCAATTAGAAGGGTTCTCAGGATCAGGGACAACAGAAATTTAATACCTTATATTGCATAACCATGTATTTATTATATATTTACAAGTAAAAATTTACTTATATGCAAGTGTTACACACTATAATTATATAAAACCTCAATCATTTATTTTTTTACTTTCAATGATTAAAATTTATTCATAATTATTAAAAATAATTATTTTTTCATTTAAAAAATCATAATAAATCTCAATTATTAAGTAAAGAGATGAATAATAAGAATTTTACATAAATAATGCATAAGACTTGTGACTAAATGAATCCCCTCATGTATAAATTCATGTATTTTGGGAATAAAATCAACATCTTAAAATTTGTTTTTACTATGGTCCTAAAAGAGAGGACTTCAACAGATGCTGCATCTACACTACTATAATGTAAAATGTTAAATCATATAAAAGCACCCAAAACACTCTAAAATAGATGTTGATGCAATAAAATCTTGATTGAATGCTCTAACACCAGGGGCAGCAAAGACAAGGCTCTAAGTAAAATACAAATAAAATGACAAAACAAAACTGAAGGACCAGCCAATAAGACAACCGGCATCTGCATGAAATATTGAATGTTAAGTCAGTAGACTAGGCCTAGCATCTTCAATCAGGAAGTATTTGCTCACCATCTGCATCTGCCTCCGTCTCAACCTTGGGCTTTGATGGACCTTGGCCTGCTCCAGGTGCCTGCTTCTTCTTAATTCCACTGACAATGTCATCAATTCTCAGAAGCATGCAAGCAGCTTCTATGGCCGTCTTAAAGGTTTGTGCCTTCACATTGTATGCATCCCAAATCTACAATAAAAAGAAAGAGAAAAAGCATCAAAAATCCATTTTAACTAAGTTCAGACTGTTAAACAGCAGAACAGCTCATGTCCAATTGTTATGCAGAAACCACTACGTATCAGAAACTTTTATGGAGCGAATGAACAGACATTTAAGAGAAAATGAAAGTGAATTTTAATAAAATAGATCAAACAAATCATGGTCAATCCAAATTAAATACCAAGAGAAGCATATTATGATAGTTTCAGTATATCAATGAACGGCAGTTAATCCATTCATTTTATAGTTGCACAGGGGGCAGGAAACAAATTTTTTATTAACATTTCATCATGGTTTATGCTTCATCACCCACAGATTGTAAAGGAACATATTTTCCATCTGACAAAAACGCTGTTATGAATCTATGACAAAAAATTGTGTTCAATTGCTCCATCTCACATCAACAATGCAATTCATCAGGCCAATATTTATTTTCCCAAAATTATCCAATCGCATTATCAAAATGGGTTTGTTTAGATTTTTCTTTCTTAATTCAAATTTGAAAAATATATTTTTTGCCATCCATTTTGAAAAATATTTAGAAACTGAAAAGCAAAATATCTAAGAAAAAAATCGAACCACACCTTCTGCTCTTTCATGTCAGCAACAGCACCAGTATTCCCATCAATGCCAATCCAAGCATTTTCTTCATTTGCATGCTAAATCACATTTAGTTGCGGAATTAAGGGGAAAGAGATTGGTCAGTACTTTTAGAACATTTAATGACCATGCAACCATAGTAGAGAAAAGATTAATACCTTTCCTTGCAGGGCAGTCATTGTCCTAATCACATTGACCCCACAATTCTGTGCCAAAGTACGTGGAATGGCCTCAAAAGCAACGGCAGCAGCTTCATAGGGCCACTGTTAGAAAACCAGACACCTCAGAAAATAATGCAAAATTAAATGAAAAGAAAGCATTTGGAGTTAATCATGTTACTCAGTAACGCTCAAATTTTACACCAATATTACTCAAGCAAACAAATTAATAAAAGAAAGCATCATTCACCTTCTCTATGCCTTCAACAGATGAGCTCTTCTGCCTCAAAGAGGCAGAAACAGTTAATTCTGTGGCACCACCACCAGGTACAAGTTTTGGGTTCTTGATTATATTTCTTGCAACAGACATGGCATCCTGTAAATTTAAAAAGCTTCAAGATATGAAGTAATCAAGAGATAAGAAACTGCCCAAAATCACTTAGATACCTGCAAATTTCTTTCCACTTCATTTAGGAGATCCTTGCTTGCTCCTCTTAATAGTACAGTACAAGCTTTTGGATCTTTGCAATCAACAATGAATGCAAAGAACTCATCTCCTATCTTTTTAACCTCAAACAACCCAGCTCCGGTGCCTACATCAGATTCTTGTAGTTCATCAGGCCGGTTCACAATAACTGCACCACAAGCCTTGGCAACCCTATTGTTGTCTGTCTTCCTCAACCTTCTAATGGCACTGACACCAGCCTTACCAAAGTAATGGCATGCCAAATCACTAAGCCCCTTCTCTGTGATCACCAAATCTGGTTTGAACTTCAATATCTGTGCACAAAGATTCTCAATGTATTCTTCTTCCATTTTCAAGAGTATTGCCCAATCTTCTTCTCTAACCAGTTCAGCATTTGTTTGGTTCTCACCTTTCTTGTACTCAAGGGGACAATCAAGAAGAATGATACGTGGATTTACAATCTTTCTTCTCATTTTACCAGGGACTACCACATCTTTACTAATCATCACTCCTTTAAGGACCTTAGAATCTTCTAACTGCCCTCCAGGAACTTTCTCAAGCTTAATGTACTTCTTAATATCGACTTCGCGCAATCCTTGACCAAGATCAACCCCAACTGTTGTAGTTGCATCAATAGCCAAATCCTGAAAGTTAACAAGATTAGAAGCCATGCAAAAAAATAAAAAATAAATAAATAAATAAAATAAATAATAAAAAAAGAAACTTAACCTCTAGCATAAACCATTTAATATTTTGGCCGAACCCCCAAAACCAGCCCCCAAATAGGGGGCCAGGGACAGATTCCCCCTGCCCACCAATTTGGGAGGTGGATTTGGGGGTTTGGCCTGATATTTTTATTATGAAAAAAGAGTCCCATGTTTTGCAGTCTCCTACACAACACTTTTTTGATGAAAAAAAAGGGGGAAAAATGAGACAATTATATTTAGATATATGGTGGCTACCAAGCAAATTTTGGAGCTGGAATGAAAGGCCAAAACTTAAGAGACAAAAACTCCATAAGAAATAAAGTGAGTGCAGACTGTGGCTGAAATGTAAAAAACTAATTGGTACAAACACCTCTGTTTCAATTTTCAAAGAGGAAATGCCAAGTTCAAATCCCAATCTCCAAACTATCAGAAGGAAAAGAACTGGGAAGAAATATTGTCTTCTTATGCCAGCCAATATCAACATAAGAACATGATAAATAAGAAAGATAGCCTCTAAGGACTTTAAGAAATAATAAATATAATACAAGAAATATCATGATGATGCATAGTTGCAATTTCAGAAAGTTGTTCTTTGCCTTCTTTTTCTAATCAAATCCAAAGAAATTTTCAAGGTTAGGTCGTTTGTGAGTGTAGTCTCAACTCAACCAAGAAACAGTAAACAGTGGTTTAATCGATGAAGGTGATACTCACAGCAATCAAATCCCCAAACTGACTCGTGAATTTTGTTCCAATACAACTTTTGACCAGTCCCAACATCATTGAACCTGCCAAAAGCAAATCCATATATTACAAAAACAAAGCATGCCCAAAAATTCAATACCATCAATGCCAAAAGTATGAAGAGATGGACTGTTAATAAAAAAATTTTAAAAAAAAATTTCTCCTAGAGAAACTTACGATCCTTCACATCAATAGGCATTGCAAGCTTGTCGAGCACAGCAATAGCATCCTCCAGGGCCTTATTGTATGCTGCAAAAAGTAACACTTCCTTCAACAACAGCCAAGTTAACCTCAAGAAAAATTAGAATTTTAGGAGAAAACATATGACATTACCTCTACAAATAACAGTGGGATGATAATTTTTGTCAATAAAAGCTTCTGCAACATGGAGCATCTCACCAGCTACAAAAGGAAAATTTTCAAAACATATAACCAGCATTATTATAACAAGAATTATCATGATCTTGAACTCCAGCAAAGGATGAATCAATTGAAATAGCCATCCTAAATCTCATATTCAACTCATATTTTAAAATCCATAAGACCAACATTAAATTCAAAGTTGTGAGGTAGTCAATTCAAAACAGGTTTTCAAGAGTGGTGCCTTCTTAAAAACTTTAGTAAATATAAGAACAATATTGCAACATAGATTAATATGTCAAAAACATCATAAATAAAGTTTTCTGTGTAAAATTCCGTGTGTTCTTCAATCTCAAATTTCACCTTCTTCACTCAAACTTACCAAGAACAATAACAGATGTTGTTCCATCGCCTACTTCTTCATCTTGGGTGCGGCTCAATTCAATCATTGACTGCCTCCACCAATAGAAGCAAAACAAAATAAGAAACCACACTACAAGAAAGAAAGTATTCAAATTTTGAAGAAAATGAAAGAGAGACTGAAAGTAGGAGTATGTAGGAGTATCATGCCTTTGCTGCTGGATGGGCAAGATCTAATTCACGCAAAATGGCATTTCCATCATTAGTGACCACAATACCTGTTAGCAACCAGAGAACACCTTTAAGTACAACTTCTGAAAGAAATCATGGCTATATGGAAATCCAAAAAAAAAAAAAAAAA